TGACTTCTAGCCGGTATCCGTGCCAGCTCGTCTAGAAGAGCCGCCTAGAATATGTGTTATATAGTCTAAGGAAAGTTTGGAAACAGATAACCAAAGATAAGCAGATTTGGTAAGCAAACATTCTCTAATTCTATCTAATTGTAAGTTTCACAAACTTGATTGAAGGAAAGGAAGAAAGCAAAGACTATCAATCTTGTTTATGTTCGCTCACCATACTTCACAGTGTTAATTTCCTCAAATTCTCTGTGCTTATTTATTAGAAGAATTTGATTAATGTGCGATATTCAATGGCCGTTAAACCATGAAAAGGGTCCTGTTAGCAGCAGTGAAGTTTTATCACAATTTTAACATTGTTTTACAGAATTTTTGTGCGCAATGAGCACCGAAACGAGACGCAAAACATGGAAAATAAAGACTTTTTGTTGATTTGAATACGTGGAGCTCTAATTAAGTACCGTACTGACCATATGTGTTCTGAAGTATGCTCTGTTGTCGTTTTTCCTATGTTTCCACCTAATGAGATTCTATTGATAGAGAGGGTCCTTCATGATAGCACGTGAATTTAGTAGTGATAAAAAAGGTTTTTGAATGACCATGCAGATATGGAGAAGTTTAGGAACATTTACAAAAGAATATATTTTCGAATAGCATAATCTTGGGTTTAAAAACAAGACATCTACTCTTATCTATATATATCTTACTCTCAATATTGAGTCTCGCTCCATCGGCGGAATTATTGTTTCATTTCTCTCATAAACGTTCGCTTTTTATATGTTCACATCGATAACGCAAGTTCTTCTGTCACAAAGTAGGAGACTAATTCTTAGAGAGTTATGGAATTCAAGATCAAGTTTAAGAAACATCTTCCAATGAAGTTAGGAACATCTACAGAAAGAAGGGAGAACATGCTGATAGCTTTACCCAAACTCATTGTTCATAATGCGCGTTTTTATTTTAGATGAACGTATGCTTAACTGCAACAAATAAAATGACTTATTAGAAAGCAATAAAAAGTACGTTAGTTCAGAAAATGAAATGCAAACAGCTTAGTGAACCTTTCAAACACTGTATCATCATTACATGAGCTTCAAAAAATTGGTTTTAAAGCAGAAACATCCCAGACGTAGATTACCCAAGAAAACTCTCAAAAAAAAACAACAAATGGGAAAAAGAGTGCCTAGGCAAATCAGAACAACATTACTAGTAAGTATACTGAAAAAGTAAATCCCTTCATTATGAAAAATTAAACAAGAAAAAAGATTATTGATAAGAGAAAGCTAGATAAAGGTAATTTAAAGAGAACGTATATATGTACTGTCATCAAATTTTGGTGTGAATAAAAACATCAAGGAGCTAATCAATTTTCAGGAATTTTTTCTAGTAAGCTTTTTCTATTTCTACTTTAAAATGAAGTCTATCGGTGCATGTATCGCCAGACTACATTTTGATATGTGAAACATGTGAGTTGAGCAAAACATCAAGCATGTGATCCATCTGTAACTTATGAATGTTTTATAAAGAAATGACTTTAAATAAAGCGCTTAGTGTGTCTGTACGGTTTTAGGTCATCTGTCAATCACAATTGCTCATTCTCCTAGCAGAAGCCTACAGCATAACGAATCAGCATCTAATCGGAGAGCTGAATAACCCTGCCACATCTTCAGTCAGATAGCACATCGCTCAGTAGTTTCTTAATAGGCCTCACGTAAGCATTATATACCTATGCTACCCATTTCTAGGACAAGGGCTGAATCAAGATAAGGATGATACTCTGACCCTTACATGGCTCGAAAATGCTTCCCCATGACTGCTAGTGACGAGTGTCCACAAAAGACTGGATAAAGCTTGAATGATTATTTTATTACAAATTATTTGGGATGATATTTAATATTTGAGATTTTGGGAAAGACATTGAAGAAAAATTAAATCAATAAATTCAAAAACCAAGGATAAGTTCGTGAATTGCATAACCCCAGAAAGTACACTTCGAAAATGATCAAAAAAGCCATAAAAACATATGAATTATGCGATCGTAATTATTTTAGGAATATCGGCGAAAATGAAGTCCAACTATGACATGACTCTTGAAAAACTTTTGCTTTGAGTAAAATATGAATAAGTAGAAAAAACTAGTAGTTCGAGGAAAATGCTAGTAAGGAGGAAAAAATGATAAAGGAATCTATACATTTCACCTTGACAACAATGATAGATTTATCATCAGGAGAATTCCTGGATATAAAAAAAAGAAGTGTTGAGAAAATAAGAAAATGCAACACAAAAGTTCTAAATTAAAATTTGTGCAAGTTCTATATTTTTGAAATAGCGAACGGGATCAATACCATCAATTGTTCTTTTGCTCCCTGCAGTGTAATGACATTAGACTGGATTAGCTGTAGGAAGAAAAGCTCATCCATGTTGTTCAGATGAAGTTTACAGGATAAGATTGATAGATCTTTCTAGAAATCAATAAAACTGCTTATGTTAGCTACGGTCTTTTCTACTCAAAATGAAAGTAAATTACGGAAAGCATAAATGAGCAAACTTGCTTAGAACCTGCTGAATAAAGCTGTGAAGCAAACTTGAACAAAATTTCTTCCGCATTTCCGTAAATTACTTTCAGAACCAAAGCTTTTTTTATCACTCAATACCAGTAAATAAGCACTTCTTCAAATGCACGTTGTATACTGTCCGTCGACATCTAATTTCTGCAATTTTTCTAATCCACAGAAAAGATCCACAATCCAGATGACTGAAAATGCAGTATGGTAGCACATGTGGCCAAAAGTGGATTGGGAAACGCTTGGCAATTTCCGGGAAATAGTCAGCTGACATATGAGAAGCCCGTTTTTCTTCCGTACTGCACAGTGGATAGTGTTTTCCTTCGAAAACAACAAAATATAGATCCTAACGAAGATAAATGTGCTATACTGCGAGATACAGGATCAGCCAAAGGTCCCGGTAATTTGTTTATAAATGTTTGCAAGATTATCAAAACTTAACAAAACTTTTTCTATGAATCAAAGAAAATTCACTATGACTAACAGAAAACTGCAACGCTCATGATAGACAAAATTATGCTGGCTTGAGGCGATCGCCTTCCAAATACCTTCTCTGCCTCTTCCTCACCCCCTTCCTCTTCCTCCTATCCTTACTTCTCCCCCTCCCCTCTTTAAATTTAGGCCTAAATCGTACTTGTTGAAGCGAAATCTTCAGAAGAACTTGAAAAACCTATTTGGCATCTCAAAATGGGAGAGGGAAGAAAGGAGGGGGACGTAAGATTTTATTTTGCATTACTCAGCAGCTTTTATGACTTCTTTGCTTGTGAGCGCCATGACTCTGTATAATTTATGAGAATATTTGTTGATTAACAATTTTATCCTCTTGTCAGCCCTCAGAACAATGTAAAATAAGAATTGGGTAGAACAGTATAGTAAATATTTCGATAAACAGAATTATGCTAGCCGGAAATTCTTTTCGTTAAAAATGCAGAAGAAACAAACGCAAAATTAAGAGATTCTTGAGCACAGCAGGAGCACCCAAATTTTATTGATTTTCTAAAATTGAAAACTGGAAATTTCCGCCGGTAGATGAAAGATGATGGAAGTTGGAACTTTTACAATGCATTTGTTCGTGACTGTTACACCAAGTCCTGAGAAACAAAGCCATTTTTGAAAATTGAAAAAGCAAAGTGTGTTTTGAAAAAAAAAAAGAAAAGGAAAAGTTTGTGGGGTCTATTGAGGACTTTTGGCTGATCCTTTGCTCAGTGTAGCCGTTATGAGATAGGTGTAGCATTCAGATTGTAGGAGTATATGATTTGCCAACTGAGCTTAGAAGCAGATATGGAAATAGAAAACTAGGATCGAACAGCCCTCCCGTGGGCCGTTGTGAATCGAAAAGAATCATGGAAGTGGCATTGCGGCGAACTAGTTGGAAAGATAGCAGTAAGTGATGGAAAATGTTTTTCGGTTGAGCGACGTCGGGCATAGTTTAAAGGGGGGAGAGAGAGCTGGAGGATTCGGTGTAAGGCCGCCAACGTTCTCAGCC